AAAGCCATGAAAAGATCATACTGTGCTCAATCTTCTGCAAGCATTAGGGTATTTACTTGGACTTCCACTTACCATGAGGCCTATGAGGGCTGAATGTGTTTTCTTAGAGTTTACGTTGTGTAACAGGAAATTGTATGTTGGATTTACTATAGAGTTTCAACAATTTTTCCACATATGGGTAGTAAAATGTCACCAAAATATTATGCTTATTTCTAAATCCAAATATGTAATTATATAACTGTGAGCCCGTTTTTTTTTTTCCTCTTTTTGTAGATGAGAGAAATTCTTATGTAGTGGATACTCTTGAAAATTGTAGTTGTATTTTTTGGAAACAGACATTTAAATATGCCTGTGAATACATTCCAGTGAATGTCTTAAAAACTAGAGCTGTCAAAGGCTGTTGTTTATTCATTCCAATGATTTTAAGTTAATATAATCTACATACCGAATTCATAATGAATGATAATTCTAAATAATAATAACTATATTTGTTAAAAACATTAGTCTATTCCAGGCCCTTTCAGTGCATCGTCTCACATAGTCCTCTCAACAACCATATGATATTATAATTATTATTATCTCCATGTTATTTATTAATTTAGATAATACTTATAGAATTTCTTCTGTGTTATAGGTATATGGGGAAACTGAGGCTCCTCTATTTTAATGAGCTTGTTTAGAGTCACACTTGTAGTGACAGTTGGAATACAAATAAAGGCCTCTGATTTGAAAGTTCATTTTGGTAACTTACTAACCTGAGATTATGCACAAACAAAGTAAATAATGACAGAATCTTAGGGAAAAGAGCAATTTGGAACATCTATGTTAAAAATAGTTTTGCATTTAGTAAAGCTGAGGCTATTTGTAAAGTATTAAAATATTTAAATTAGAGGATTATGAGCCTATGGTTGTTTGCTACAGGTGAAGTTTAAATATTAGGCATTCTAGAGAAAGTTTACTAAATGTGTTTCTCAGGCATTAATTTTTATTAGAAAGTATGCTTTTCCAAGCATTCTTAACTGAAAGGATTATCTGGATGAGAGAGTAAACATGAAGATGATTTATTAGTTTCCTGTTATTTTACCATTTGAATATCAGGTCCCGGTTGAGGTCAGATAAATATAGAATGAAAAAGCAGATTATAATGTTCTCTGACTTGAAATCTGTTGTTCTTTTTAACAAATCAAAGTTAAAGTAATCCTTAGTTTGTACTTTACTACTATGTATTTTTTGTGAGACAATTAACACCTCAAGTAATTTGGCACTCTAAATCAATTATGTGTATTGCCACTCTAATCATTAGAGGTAGGTAGCTCATCAAAACCTGGTTCTTCCCTCCTGCTGTTACTGTTTAAAATCCAGCATCAGCCTGTTTCATCCTCCACCTATCCCTGTGTCAGCCTTCTGAACTCCTTACCTGTTCTTCAGACAAAACCTCAATTGTGACACGATGCATTGTCCCTGCGGTCTTACCTAATGTTATCCATCTTACTTTCCTTTGTGCCCCTGCGTGCGCCCCCTAAATCTTTGCCTCTCTGGTTGGGCACTTGTCAGATCTTGTCTTATGCATTTTGTGAGCCCCTAGAAAAAGCATCAATGACCATTCTTTTTATCTGTCGTCCTACAGCAATTAATATAGCACCTTACACATAAAACTAATTGTATTTTACTAATGTCTATTTCAATTTAGACCTACTTTATATTAAGTATCTGTTCGATAAGGTGTATATTTTATAAATTACTTGAAGAGAACTTCGTCATGGTTGAGATTCTGAAAAGACCATATTTTAGAATTATGTAAAATTATTTTGCTTTATGACTCCGTGTCTTTCATCTTTTAATGTTTTAGCTTTGTTTTATATATGCAGAATTTTTGTAAAGCTCTGAAGGAGCAAATGTTATTTTATCAAGGTATAAGGCAGTAGAATAAAAGTTCTTGATTAAAATTCATTTAGTTCATAATCTGACTGTACTTAAAATAAATCTTTGACATGCTGATCAGCTTAAATTGATACAATCTCAACTAAAACTTAAGTTCAGCGTTAGCTATGTATAATTACTGTCAAAAAAGATATGTTCTAGCTATCCATTTACATAATTTGAGCTTTCTTTTGGATTGCCTATGAATTAATTAAATTTTCTTTCATTGTATCAGCTACATGCAACACAACTTATAGCTAATATAAAATAGCTCATTAACTTCTACCAAATTGCCAATATCCTAATACAAATCTCTGAACTGGAGTATAGACATTAAGAGGAGAGAATCTGAGAAGAATACCCACCAACCTACATACACTGGAAATGACCTCAGTTGATGGCAGAGCATTCCTCCACAAAAAGGAAATTCTACTGATTCAGTCAGCTACCCTAATTTGTGACTAAAATGTAAAAAAGTCAGACTCTCTTGATAAACATTAAACTTACTTTTTGATAATAAAAAAATAAATTAAAAACTTTTCTGATAAATCTTAAACTATTTGATAGCAAGAAACTATTAGTAAGATAGTAGACAATAAAATATATACAATTATACAAAGTAAAACTATATGAGTCAAATTCCTGTGTTATAATGGCAGCCTCATTTTGGACCCTGTAAACATTAGGTCAACAACTGGGCTAAGTACTGGTATAAGGATAAGGAATCAGATTTTCCAAAGTGAAATTAGTTGTTATTTTATAGTTACAATTGTCATGTTTTAGATTTTCTTTTTTAATGTATTACATTGAGCATTAAAAAGCAATAATAGAAAAATAGAAAAACTAGCCCAATATCTTATACACCTAGCTGATCAATTGTGTTAATTTTTCTATATCTTTTCCTCATTTCTTCCAAATACTTGCATTATTTTATATGGTTTTAATCATAGCATAAACTTCTCATCTTTTCTACTTAAGAGCTTTAATAATTGTTTACCTGGTCTTTTTCTTTGTGTTATATTTATTTCAATTATAAATTAGAATATCATTAAGTCAAAAGCCCTAAACTGTTATCCTGGAAGCAATAGTATCATTATCAACTATAAACTTGGGAATAAATTTGGGGCTGTACCCCAGATCTACTGAATCAGAAACTAGAGTTTAGTGGAGGCAGAATCTGTTTTAACAACCTCTCTAGTCCATTCTACTCTATGCCAAACTTCAAGAACTATTGCATTAAATGTCTTTTCAAAATGCTGGAAAGCTTTGTTGAACAAATTGTATTATTTTTTTTCTTTGAAATTTTATAGAATATTTTTTTCAACAATTGGAATGTAGTATCAAAGAGTACTAATATTTTTAAATTATTTTCAAAAAGATTTGTTCCAATTTATATTGCTATCAAAAATGTAAATTAGCTTCTAAAATTATACTGTTGATAGCATTGGTCTTTTTTGATAATTTTAATTTTGCTGAATTTTATTTGGTAATACATAGATGTACATGCATATATATTAGTTCACCATAGGTCTCACTTAAAAACAATATTAATTCTTTAAATACTTTTTATTTGTGTATTAGTTTCTAAAAATATAGTAAAACTAATAATAACTAACCCTTAAATTAAGTTTTATATGTGCTAATCCCTTTAATCTTGATAGCTCCATGAGGATATGCTATCATTCCTGTTTTACCAATAAGGAAACTGAGTTACAGATGTGTTAGTTACTTACCCAAGGTCCTGAACCTTGCATCTGGTGGAGCTGTGATTTTAGCTTGGATCAGAATCCATGTTCTTAATAATTATGATGCAATCATGTAGAGAGATGGTTTTAAACCAAATCTGAAAGTAAACATTAAATATCTAAAATAATTGTAAGTTTATAACCTCTCAAACCTTTCTTTTCTTGTTTGCAATATATAGGTGTCATGATGATACACACACACACACACACACACACACACACACGTATACTGGGTGTCAAAAAAATGTACACAAGTGGACATTTTGGTCAGCGTTGCTCAAGCAGTAGTTTGCCATAATCAGAAGTGTCCAGACACTGATGGTAACCACTTTGAGCACCTCTTGTAATTGTAGAAGTCAAATGTGACTTGTATTCTTCTTTTGTTATTAGTATATATTGAGCATTACAATTTTTACACAGTTTTCCTTTCTTAAAATGTGCATACATTTTGGGGGGCACCCTCATGTGTGTGTGTGTGTGTGTAGACACACATACACAGATGTATGATTTGCTGACTTTTTAAATTTCTAGTAAGATAAAGTTCTCAAAGGAGAAAAGCCAGTTCTGCCTATAAGAGCATAGGGATTGAGTTGTTCGGTTTTAGTACAAGACTGCTGGACCCATCTATATTTTTCTTATGCCAGTGGAGAGTATTAGACTGAATAAGTAATAGGAAAATCAAATTATCCATGATTTATTAATTCATTCATGAAATGCATAAGCGATTGTCAAGTACAAAAGTTCAAAAGAAGAAAGGATCAGCTGTCAGAACCCACCAAGAAATTTTCAAGTCTCTATTCTTCATTCCTATCTCTAACTATTATATTTCCTGCCATATATATATATATATATATATATATATATATATATGCATTTCCTTTCTCCTATCCAGAATGCTGATAATGTAAAAGTTGACATTTATTAAATATTTACTATGTGCTAGGGATGTGCTTTCTGTGGATTATTACAGGTAGCGTTTTGTAAAAGTCCAGAAGATTATCTATACTATTTTCCCTATAGTAGAGCCAGGATTTGAACTCAAGCAGTTTAACTATAGAGACTTGTCCATAAGGACTACACTACTTATTGGAGAGGGAGAAGGGAGGTTAGGGAGAAGGGAGGTTAAGGAGAAGGGAGGAAGGGAAGAATGTTGAGGGTATTGTGAAAAAGTTCATCTGCCACTTCTAAGACCCTTCTCCACTGAACCCTGGTTACACTATAATATATATATATATATATATATATATATGAATGTATATATGAATATATGAATGTATTTATGAATATATGAATGTACTATTATGAATCTTTGACATGATTGTATTATTTGGACACATGACCCAATCAATATTTTATTCTTTATCCTCAGGATTCCAGATTCAGGATGTCCCTTTGGGATCTTGTGAAAATAAATACTGTGGCTTGGGAAGGCACTGTGTCATCAGCAGAGAGACAGGGCAAGCGGAGTGTGCCTGCATGACCCTTTGCAAACGACACTACAAACCTGTCTGTGGATCTGACGGAGGATTCTATGAAAACCACTGCGAAGTGCACAGAACTGCTTGCCTGAAGAAACAGAAGATCACCATCGTTCACAATGAAGACTGCTTCTTGAAAGGTAAATGCAGGGTGACCCGAAAGTGTCACCCTCATCTCTTTCTTTCCTCCTCTCAACGAGTGCCTTTAAGTTTAACGTCTAACACAATTCTATATCAGCAAAGGTCTAAAGGCAAAGGGGGCAAAAAAGGTGAGCTAATTACACCACTAAGTTGCGAGGGTACAGAAATTTACATGGCTATGATTCTGAATCTCAGTGATGAGAACAAAGCTGGCCAAACTGTGACTCAAAATTTAATATAGCTTACAGCATTGCACCATATGGCTTCCCAATCATGCAGTTATCTTAGGGACACTTGGTGGCTGGCCAATTCAGCCAACAGGCCAAATCCACCCAGTGAAAAGCACCTGGAGTGGAATTGAGGGACTAGTGCCTGCCAAGCCATGCTGTGATAACATCTCATTTCTTGCTGATTAAAAAGGATGGTTTCAGTTTGCGCCACATAATTCAAATTATATGTAACCCATACATGCCCACTGAAGAACTTACAAAAAACTCCACTAGGTGATCTGAGATGACCGTAATTTAAAATTTTAAAGTATTAGTATTTAATTTCATGATACTTAAAGTTATTGGTGATTGTTCATAGAAAAGTACAGCTGAATTAATAATTTGACAAATTATTTTAATATACTATGCATATAAATTAGTAAACACCTTTAAAATCATCTATTTATTTATAAACACATATGTTTTTTATCTGTTTATTTATACTGGTGCAAATATGTGCTCATTAATAGTCATAATCCAGACTAAAATTTGTAGGTGTTAAATCTATAAAACTTTCATTATTTGAATAGGCCAGTGATCTACCTGATTTCTAATCTTTGATTCCATGTCCCAGTTTCTCAGAATATTCCTGAAGCATATTTACACTTAAAAACTTGTTTGATGTTTTAATGCTTAGCTTAAATTTATTCAAATGTGTTATAATACTTCATTTGCTCACCAGTTAAGATAAAATGACTATTTAAAAATTGTTCTTTTTCAAACTTGGTAGAATAAATAAAGTATTATTTCCAAGGTTGTAAAAAAAAAAAGTGATACACCGGGCTTTTAAATGATATACATGCAATGCTGTATAGTCATTGCAGCTATTAGAAGCCCTTTGATATAAATGAAGTAAAATTATAAGAATAGTTTTCTTACCATAGTGACCTCTGTGCACCTTGAGTTATACCTGTGCAGAGAATTTTATATTAGATCTTCTTCCTTTACAGAGAGAATAGTGGCTGCTTTGGTTTTTAGTTCAGTTTATTTCCATCTCCTATCATAATCTGTTTTGCAAATAGCTAAAATGGATTGTATTAACATTGTTCTTTAACGCTCATGAAAGCATATTTTTTGCTGTTGTTTTGATCTAAGATGATACATAGAAAGTTTTCTATTCTACTAATGCATGATATCATAAAACTACATAAATACTATGTTATTAAGTTGATTTAGAATCATATTCTCAAGCTCAGGTTTTGTCCAGTTGACACCAACTAATTGATTATGTGGAGATATGATATTAAATATCATGTGGGGAAGAAAAACATCTGGTGTATTTAATGTTCTGCTTTATTGCTGGATGTTTAGGCACAATGCAACTCAAAATGTAAATCAGCACGGAGATAGATGAACTGGATATGGATAAGAACGTTGTCTTCCTTATGATTTCATAAACAATGATTTTAAGGACTTTTGTCCTTTAGACTTATACTAAACATCTTTATTAGAGTTCTGATTGCTTCAAAATACATGCTCATTATACCAGGGGTGCCAAAAAATGTATAAACATGATTTGTATTCATCTTTTGTTATTAGTATATATTATTACAATTTTAATACAGTTTTTTCCCTTTTTAAAATTTGTATACATTTTTTGGCACCCTCTATATATAGTGTTAAAATTCCCTTTATGTTTTCTTGATTAGTTAGCATATTTCTCAGGTCTCAGAATTTGTGGGTCTTTGTTTATTTGTTTATTTCTTCTGGTGTTTTGCCTACCTATATATCATTCGTAAAATAATTTTATTTCAACAGAAAGGAAATAAATAATATAGAACAAAACAATAAATTGCCTTTCTTAGTATTGCTCAAGTTCTGGGCATAAAAGAAGATTCAAAATAGTTGAATGCCTGACATTGTTGTGATGGCTAAAATTAATTCTTGTGACTGTGAATTATATTTTCTGTGGAATTACAGAAATTTATATTGTTTCAGTAATGGCACAAAGGAAGAAGCAAATCAAAATACAAGGTTCAAAAATTGCTTAAAGTTACATTTAATTAGATATTAAAAATAATCAAAACAAACAAAATAATAAAAATGAGTTTTTCTCCTTAGGGGAAAAAAATGCTACTTTTAAATTTAAAAAGAGGTGATTATGAAAACCTTAAAATAGGAGTCAACAAGCAAGAACCTATAGGCCATATCCATTTTGCATCCCATTTTTTGGGAACCTTTGATGGAACACAGCCACACCTGTTTGTTTAGGAATTGTCTTTGAAGGTCTTTGCCCTGCTGAAGAACTAAGTACTTGCAACAGGGAGAATGTGGCCTGCAAAGCTGAAAAAAATGTTTTGCCTACTAGATCTTTCCAGAAAACAGTTGTTGACTTTTGCTTTAAAAGACTACTAGTGCCGTAAAATAAATTTTTGAAAATATTTGCAGATCTTTACTATTCTGTATCTTCTTGGCTGTGGTGGTGAACATAGGGACAAACACATGTGGTAAAATTGAATAGAATACACACCCATACACAAATGCACACAAGTAAAACAGGAAACCTGAGTAAGACCACTGGATAGTATCAAAAATGAAATCCTGGTTATAACATTGTACTATAGTTTTTCAAAATGTTACCATTGCTAGAAACTGGGTTAAGTGTACCTGGAATTTCTGTATTATTTCTTCCAACTGCAATCATCTCTACAATTGATTCTACAATTATCTCAAAATAAATTATAAAAAAAGTCCTGGGAAAATATTAGCAAATACTTAAAACAATTTTAAAGAAAGTAGGATTTGCATTATTCAGTGATTATTTGAACTTTAAGGTAAGTCTTTCTTATGTGTTTCACATATCAAATTTATCAGATTTATGTTTAGCATTTACATTTAAACATTAAAATAGATTATATTTGTACAATCATGTATATTGATTCATTGTTGTAACATTAAGATTAGAGTCCAGGTTGAAAACATATATATATGTATTTATAACTCTGTATATCTATATTTATATCTCTGTCTATATATGTATATATATATATATATATATATCTTCCAATTATTTGTGTTAAATATTTAAATGCTTATGTAGTGTACTTAGCATTTACTATCGCAGACTGCCTCTTAAATATAGACATGAATTCACTAAGAATTAAGTTTATGATCTGTGGAACTGTAGATAAAACATAATACATCTATCAATGTAACACTTTTCTAATTATCTGATTACAAAAACAAACTCATTATACTAGGAAAGAGAATATGTAGTATTTATTTATTGGCATCAAATACTTTATGACGATGAAGATTCTTTATGATGATACTTAACATAAAACTTTTCATATTTATGTAATGCCTAAACTATTCATTGTGATGACAGTTTTGCCTTAAAGTAATTTCTCAGCCCTACTCCCAACCCAAAGGGTTTTCTAACTGCTACAATCCATTGTCACTTATAACAAGTAGTTTCTTTTCACCCTGACACCAGGTCTGCCTGTCATACACAGTTGAATTTAGTTACTCGGAAGTAGAGATGTTAGCTGGAGTAAGAAACTCAAGATATAACCTATGCCAAAATGAATAGGGAATTAAACCTTTTATGAGAAAGTCAATTGAACAGAAACCCTTTTGCCATTTACTGTGCTGACAATAAAACTGCCATAAAGGCAAATGTTCTGTGCACTTAAATGTGCATCACAAACAATAACAACTTGGAAAATATGGTTTTTACGGCTATGTATGTGCTATTTGGATGAGATCTGACATTGCGTTCTTTTTCTTTGGTATAATCATCTGGAGAGACATTTATATTCCATTTTTTAATTTTTTTTTTAACCTGAGCATTTCTTTTTCTTTTTATTTTTTGTAACAACAGGGCTTGTAGAACTTAGACTAGAAAACTAGACTGCCAATGGTATCTTAAAAATGTCAGTAAATGCCATGTGCTGATCCACATGTGCTTTTAGACTGCTGCTTTTTTGGAAAGGGTACCTTTGTAAAGTTCTACTGTATGTGTAAACCGCCTTTTATACCAATTTATGAAAAATAGTAATCTTCAAAAATATGTAAACTTTGGAAAACAATACCCAGGTGTTTATTTGTTGTTTTGTTTTTTAGTCAGTATTAGTCAAATGGAACAGTGGGGTGGAGGTGAAAGGAATGACTTGAGCAACTATAATGCACATTAACTCTTTCCAGGCCAGAATGCTGACACCCAGAAATTACAGGTCCTCTAAATGCATTCAGTACCCACAACATCCAAACTAATTCGATTAATCCTTTAAATTGCGGTACATCTATATTAAATATTTTTCTGAATTCAGTTTGTGAAATTGACTAAGTTGTATTTCATTTAAAAACTGTATTTTCTATTTAAGATTTTTTTAAAAATTAAAGTTGACATTCAGTATTCTTTTATATTACTTTCAGGTGTACAAAATAGTGGTTAGGCATTCACTTCATAAATTATATATATGTATATATAATATATATGTTATTTGTATAATATATGTATTATATATATAATATAGATGTAGTTTTTACAATATTATTGACTATCTTCCTTACATTATATTTGACATCCCCATGACTATTTGTAACTACTAATTTGTACTTCTTAATCCCTTCACCTTTTTCACACAGCCCCCCCCCCCAAACCGCCCTCCGATCTGACAACCATCCGTTGTTCTTTGTATCTATGAGTTGTTTCTGTTTTGTTTGTTCATTTATTTTGTTTTTTAGGTTCCACATATAAGTGAAATTATATGGTATTTGTCTTTCTC